GTGTCCAGCCGGAACGTGCACAGCAGCCCCGTCCCCGCGATGAACGTCACCATCACCCCGACCATCTGCGCGTAGTACCGCCCCGTCGCCCGCATCAGGTACCCGGACGCCAGGCTGCCGACCGACGTCGCCGCCGCCAAGGGCACGACGCGCAGCCCCGCCGCCGTGGCCGATAACCCGCGCACCTGCAGGTACAGGGGCACGTAGTAGATGGCCAGGAAGGCAGCCATGGTGCCGAACCAGTTCGCCAGGCACGCTGAGAGCACCGTGCGCGTGCGCACAATCAGGGCCACGGGGAGCACGGGCTCCGGCACCCACCGCGGCTGCGACTCGAGGTACATGAACCCGGCGAGCGTGGCGACCGACAGCACCAGGCTGGCCACGATCAGCGGGTGGTCCCAGGGGAGCTGGTTGCCGCCCGTGTTGAGACCGAGCAGGAGTAGGACCAGGCTGGCGACCAGAAAGCCCGAGCCGAGGAAGTCGATGCGCGACAGCGCGGGCTGCGTGCTCGGGTTCACGGGGATGTCGACGAGGAAAAACACCATGACGGTCGACACGGCGATGAAGGGCACCTGGAGCAGAAACGCCCAGCGCCACGACAACTTGTCGGAGAGCACGCCGCCGAACACGCCGCCGAGTCCCATGCCCAGTCCGTAGACCAGGTTGCCGTACCCTTGCCACAGGCCCCGGCGTCGCAGGGGCACCAAGTCGCTGGTGATGTAGGTCGCGATGCAGGTGAGGCCGCCACCGCCCACGCCCGCGACAATGCGTCCCGCGATGATGGCCCCGGCGCTGGGTGCCAGCCCGCACAGCAGCGTGCCCGCGCCGAAGAAGATGTTGGAAAAGATCAATCCCCACCGCCGCGAGAAGATGTCTGTCAGCTTGCCCGACAGTGGCTGGCACGCCGAGTTGGCGATGAGGTAGCCTGTCGCCAGCCACGAGAGGAGGGAGAGCGAGTTGAAGCTCGATGAGATGGGAGCTGTCAGGGTCGCGACGATGGTTGTATCTGGTGGTCTTCGTTAGTCATTGATGATGGAGGACATAAAGCGGCCTCATACCCAGAGCAGCAAAGAAGACCCCAATCCACGTCGCTGCCATGATGGCGACCAGCCTCTTGGTGCTTGGTTCCTCGGCCACCGCGATCTCGTCGGCTTCCGTCACTGGCACGGGCACGGGCTGCGCGCTCTCCGGGTCGACGGCGATGCCATTCTGCTCGCCGCCGAGCAGAGGACTCGTCTCGGAGGGTTCGTGGGGGTCATGATCTGTACTCGTCCTGCTTCCGTCCCTCGTGTGCGCCATTTTTGTTGTGGTGTCGAGATTGTGAGGCAAATCACAGAGCGTTAGATATCAATCAATCAGTCAGGCGATGATACGGTCGATTGTGGCTGAATTGCGATTCCGAGGATAGGATTTGTTGGGATTCCTTCGCATCTGTCTCGCGGGCCCGCGCTCCGTTTCGGTGTCTGGTCTGGTTGCTAGATGGCCCCTCAATGGTCCAGGTCAAATCCGAATTGGTAGATAGACAGGTAATAGATAATAGAATGCGTGCTCTCAAGAAAATTGTTCCTTCCCGCGCTCTTTATTCTGCGCGCACCCCGTCTCACTGCAACACACACAGACTCCCCTTGCAGATATCGTAGGTCGCTCGATCCCTCGATAGAATGGCAAGATAAATATTTCTTAGTGTCGTAGATAGATCCCAACTGATGCAATCAATAACCTGGGAAGAGGTTCCTGTCGATCAAAAGAAATATTACTGGGGGGGTTTTCTTGTTAGTTGATTGGCTTGGAGGCGGCGGTGGGGTGGTGGTGGCGGCGATGTGCGTGCAATAATTCATCGTGAGGGTCGAATCGCTACGCTGCAAAAAGGCTCGTAAGCAGCAAGTCTCTTACACGACATTTCCTCACAACATGGCGATTGGCTGGTTGCTGGTTGGGTCCTCACCACAAAAGACGTGGAGGGGATGACATGTATCTTCGTATCTACTTACGTTCTGTATGTATACGAGAGCTGGGATCATGACTTGCAAACTATTCAATTCAACACAACATGTATTGTACATGACATAGAACAGGGAGAGGAGATACTCCACGACCCACTGTACTCAGTCTCGCAAGGCTTCAATATCTACAATCTCCTTGACAGCCTCGGTCGTCAGCACAAATGGGCTGTCGTCCTGGATACTGACACTGTCTTCAATGCGTACCCCCATGTTCCGGAAATGCTTTGGCCACCGCTCGTTGTCCGGCACATAGATTCCTGGCTCAATAGTGATACAGTGTCCCTCTTGTAGCACCACTTTCCGCGTATATCCCACCGTGTCATGTACGTCCAAGCCGATATAATGACTCAAGTGGTGCGGGAATAGGCTCTCAATGGCTTTGGAAGACATGTCAAAGCCAATCTGCCGCAGTTCGTTGGAGAGGTATTCTTCTGCTATGTTGTGCAACTTGTCCAGTGACATATTCGCACTACCTCGGCAAAGCGAGATCAACGATCTCTGGACTGTGAGCACTGCTTGGTACAGATCTCTCTGTGCGTCGCTGAATTTCCCTCCGACAGGCCAAGTCCGCGTGATATCGGCGATGTAGCCACCGTACTTTCCACCACCGTCCACAAGGACCAACTCGTCATCCCGCAGAACATCATCGTTGCGGACGTAGTGAATGCCAAGTGCATTCTTACCACCAGCAACGACAGGCTCAAATGCGCTAGTGTCGCAGCCATTCGTGATGAAGCGATGGCGGAGATACGAGTCGAGCTGCTTCTCGCGCGTCCATGCTTTTCTCATGGCATCCGTGTGGGCCCGTCCTGATGCTCTTCCGGCTATTCGCATGAGCTCGATCTCGGCTGCGCTCTTAAAGGCTCGTAGGTCGTTCATCATCGGTCGAAGCCGGTGGACTTTCCGCGACTCAATGAGCTCTGCGAACTCGGTGGCCTTGCGGGACGCACCAAACAGAAACCGCTGGAGTGCCGAGCGGTTGGTATCGGGACTCGTGATGTCCGTGTAGACCTGAGACGCTTCACCCACCAAGTCTGGAAGGACCTTTTTCAACCTGGAGATGTCACCCGTCTCGTCTGCGTTGAAGACGTCCTTTGCCGCCTGCGTGCCCGATCTTGCGCCATCCCAGATCTCCGCTTTGGGGTCCTTTTCGCGGACAAACAGGTGGAACGTGTGGTCCGTACCCGTGGGGTCTTTGCCGATGACGGCGAGAGCTTCAGGTTCGTTGAAGCCGGTCAGGTAGAGGAAGTCGGGATCTTGGTGAAACTCGTAGAAAACGCTGCCGGAGCGGAATTGGAGATCAGCGGCGGCGATAATGGCAATGGCCTTGTCTGGCAGCTTGGCCGCAAGCCGCGTGCGCCGGTCGGCGTACTCCTGTGCTGTTATCCCTGGCGTCAGCTCCCCTGGCTGGAGTAGATGCGGATGAGTCTCGTGGACAGGTTGCCCAAAGGCAAGATCGGCAGCATTGACTGTCAGAGTGTTATACTGGCGCAGGCGTGATCCCTTGCATCTGGTGGTTGCACGAACGGCACGGGCTTGATTGAGGACATTATTGGCACGGATGAGCGTCTGCCATAATGTCCTCCGCATCGACATGCTCTGAAGCAATGTCTGCAATGAGATAACACGATGGTTGGAGGATCAAAGTGGACAAAACCATCATGGTTCAGTCCATCTGTCCGTTTGACATTTTTGTCGCTCTTCTCCAACCAGCGAGATGCTGCCTCGGGTCTAGTTGCCTAATCGGGCCACGGCCAATGACGCCCTCCGCGTTTGATATACGCACGGACATGCAGTTCCAAGGCAGTGACTTTGTCAATGACTCACTTGATCTGTCAGATACAGCCTGAGAAGGGCGTATATTGATCCATTAATACTCCAGGCGATCACGTTCAGATCTTTTTGTGTCTGTCCTCCCTCTAGCCATAGAAAGTGACGTCTATCAAACCGCGACCATGGTGAGGCATCTCGAGTATCCAAAGAAACCACAGAATACTGTGAAGCGATATAACAACAGAGGTAGGTGAACACGGCCTTGAGCACAAGAGGTCAGAGACCAACACTTGACAGGAACATATGATCTGGGAATCATCCACTCAATCATCAATACCACCTCGGTTCTCCATGTCTCCTTCACTCCCAGTGCCGACCAACCCTTTCCCGCAATCTTGCCCATGATTGGGGTGATGGGTTCATTTGAGTATCCCTCATCCAGCATTGAGGAGCCACTCGACTGTTATCTTCACGGATATGTCAGTTCGAGAATCATGCGCCTTGCTCGGGAGTCACCAGAGGGGTTGCCTGTCTGCATTGCTGCCACCAAAGTCGATGGCTTGGTCTTGGCCTTGACCCCAAATTCTCATAGTTACAACTACCGATCAGCGGTGCTGCAGGGACACGCAGAGATGGTCGAAACAGACGATGAGAAATTGTATGCGATGCGGCTGATCACCAACAAGGTCGTCGACGGTCGATGGGAGAACACCAGAGTCCCCCCAGACAACGTGGAAATGACCTCGACTACCATTCTGAGAGTCAAGATCGAAACAGGTAGCGGGAAGATCCGACAAGGAGGACCTCACGATGAAGCAAAGGACGAGAACAGAGCTGATATCACTGAAAGAGTCTGGACTGGGGTGGTGCCAGTGTATGAGGCTTTCGACACGCCAATACCCAGCGCCACCAATAAGGTCAAGGATCTTCCATCATACCTTGATTCGTACGTGTCCGAGACCAATGCCCACAACAAAGAGTCAGCTCTCAACGCTGTCAAAGAACCCTGAAATTGACCAACAGTAATCATGATGTCACAATCTCCTGGGGGGCTTCCAGTGCGAATCGCTGAAACAGGAAACGGATGGTCTGGCCGAGGTCGATCGGGGAAATGGAATCGGTTTTTGTGTTCGCAGAGACCCTGAAGGAAATGCAGCTTCATATAGACAGTCGCACTTTAGTTAGTGACTTCCACGTCCTCCGTGCAACATGGGTACAAGTTTTTCATAACCATGTGCGCCACTTCACCGTCTCTTCGATCTTTGACACAACAATGAAGTGGTGGCGTAGGGTCGCTGCCAGGCAAGAGCTCATAGACTCATTCCAGAGAAATCTCTGAGCCACGCCATTCATCTCGTCGATGCTCATTTTGAACCTCGACAGAAGGGTTTTGGTTACGGCGTCGCCCTGCGCAAGCGGACATCCTTCCAACATTTCTTTGGTTGCTGTAACCACACAGCCACCCCATAGAAGACAATCGTTCTCAATCTGCGACCCCCGGGTCATCTTGCGCGAACACTCGAGAAAAGTCTCGGCCATTTCCTCACGGTCCAGTTCGTATGTTGCCGTTTGTAAGTGAAACACCGAGAAGCCCAGCCAGATCAGGCGTTCGATCGGGGGTAACCTTTCACGAAAAGCTTGAGACCGTTCGCGATCCCTGGTTGCCCTTGATGCGAGGCGGACAATTTGGCCTCTTTCCATGGCCAGCCGTTCGATAACTTGGATGGAAAGAATCCTGCGCAGGGCCAGCTCTCTGAACCCTTCACAGACTCTGGCAAGACGCGCAGATAGGCTTGGAGAGAACGGGAGCTTTGGGTATACCGGCTCCTCCCCAGCTGACTGTCCCGTGGTCAGGGAGGAGGGGCTGTACTCAGGAAAAATGGTTGGGCTCTTCATCCTGGGTTGAGCGTACGATAAGGCGTCGTGACTGGGTTACTAGTCAGCTCTCTGTAATAGCATCGCCTAGGGCTGGCTTTGAAACACACTCACAAACAAGAAGGACGTTTGGTCGAAGCACGAACATCGCGTTCGCGCAGGTCCTCGTCGTGTTCGAACTGACCCAGGTAACGGAGCGCATTGCGGTGCATGTTGAAAGATGCATCATCCTCAAAGTAAGCCTTTCACTGTCTCTCAGCATGTATTACATTGAAGACAGGAAAATGGTTACATACGCAAACCCCGGCTAAATTGGAAATAGCTGCCATTACAGCCTTTCGAGTGGAGCCCGGGACAAGGAGCCGTTCCCTGATCTTTGACAGGGAGCCTCCGTAATGGTACAGCATCGCCTTCTTCAACTCGGGCGTGTGTGATAGGTAGGTACAAAGTACCCAAGTGATGACAGCCTCAAATAGAACATCGTGCGTCATGAAGAGCTCGAAAAAGACCTGGCCTGGTGCAACGATCTCCCTACAGTGGTCAATTACAGCAGGGAAATACTCCTGAGACTCAATAGGATATCGTAGGAATGGATCGGTACGCAGACCACCGAAAACGCTGTCGGCAGGGCAAGCCGCAAGGGCTAATGATTCAGCTCGACATTCCCGGCAGCCACAAGGATCCGCTTGGGCATCACCTGAGGATATTGTCTCTGGGGAAGATCCATGTTCGTTTAAGCACGGTGATCCAGGGGGTAGCATGCCTGGGTGGGCACCCTTGTCTCGCTGGGGCGGTGGTGTTTTGGTGCTCGCATCGGCTGTAACAGCTTGCTCGAGGTGCAATTGACTTTGAGAATTCAGATGGGTTTTTGCAATAGGTCTTGAATTCCGTGATCCCTGTTCAAGAAGATGATTCTTATGGCCCCTAACACGGTCCACCCCGGGAGGCGTTTGTACTCCTGCCGAATAGACTTCTAACCCACGACGCCGTTCATGATTCCTACGCATCGCATGGGCCGTGATCTGACTGAGTTGCCAGCTGGGAACACGTCCAGGTCTGTCGACACTGATGAAATGAACGTCCATTGGCAATGGGTTGCGTGGAGATGATTCTTCGGTCGTGTCGCTACCGCCCTTATTGGTATAACAAATACTCTCAACTATCTCGATCGTTGACCATCTGCGTGTCGTGTATGCGAGGTGGTTTACTTGACAAGATCTTGCAGCCACCTAAATTTTCAGCCTAAGGCTTCATGTCGAGGACCAGGCGCCGTCGAGGGTTTTCGGATAGAGTCCGTGTCTTTAGACTGAATTGGCATGTCCACTTCATCGAGTATTATGATGGAGTAAAGCCATCTCTCCGAATGGGATAGGTTCAGTGGGCTGCAAGAAAACCTGGTGTTAAAGAGGACAGGAAATCAGGCTCCAAAGATTGCCACCAGCTCAACCCGAGCTCGTTCAGGAACTAGAGCTTCCGCATCCGGAAGAGCTTGGGATCTCGTATATTGTTAGTATTCTTTCGCCCCTGTTCGATTGCTGTGGATTACCCAAGCATCGACTAGCCAGCCCATGCACGAGCTTGTCGTTGGCTGCGGGTTGGCACTGGACCGGGGAGCGGCGGCCAAATGTAGCTGGATGAGATGAGAATGCTAATGTGAGCAATCGGGACGAGACAATGGACCAAAAAGGGCTGGAAAGGCGATTGTGGTATTAGCAAGAGGATCGATGAGTCGACATTAGGCAGAATAGATGGGCATCCACTGCACCGTAGGCGTGAAGGACACATACGGCGGGGCAGAAGCCATCGGCCTCAGACAACAATTACCAATACCAAGTCCTTGGTACGGGGCACCCAGGGGGCACTGAGTAGCAATATGGTTGCCCTGCCAACCTCACCTACACAGCGCTTCACCATCTGCCACTCTTCCAGGGCACAACCATTGGCACCGCGGCCGATGACGCGTATTGTTGGTCAAACCTGCGCACCGTACCTGAGCGACCTTGCATCCAAACCACCAATTCCTCCTCATAACATCGAACCCGAGCCCTGTATCGCCCTGAGATCCTGATATGAGGATTCTGAACCCACAGCGCCAGTTGCATGCCGAAGCCCCGTCGTGAGTCTGCGGCGAGGGCCGACACACGTCCTGCATTCAGTCGCCCCCCAAACTCGCGGCCGACTCCTGCGCCCCGTCAGGCACGGAGTGGAGAAGACGAAGACGACTACTATGAGCCACGAACACCGAAAAGAGCGCCGAAGGAAAAAGCGAAAGCCTCCCCGGTGCCTTCTCCGTCGCCCGAGAAGAAATTGCGCCGACCGAGTGATCGCTACCAGACTTCGAGTGGGGTGAGAGACAGTCCAAAAAGAGAGCAGCGAAAAGATCGAGCAAAGTACAGCTCTGGCGCGTCCACAAACAGCTCGAGTCAGTTGTTGAGCAGCGATGCTCTGGCGAAACTGAATGCGTACAACCAACGAGTGGAGTTTGAAGAAAAGTACGAAGAGCGCAAACGCAACAAGAAGAAACAGAAGCAGTACAAAAACCTCAAGGCCGCAGAGGCGACTCAGCAACGAAAGAAAAAACAAAAAAACAGGAATGTCAGTGGTGCCATATTAGAGGAAGGGAGGGCGGGCGAGAAGCACAGACGCGCGCATGGACGTGGTGGTGGGTATGGCAAAGAATACGAGGTTCACAAGCGATCAGGCACAGACCAGAGGAGGCGGAAGAAGAAATTCTGGTGGCTGTTGATCTTGTTCATGGTGTTGCTGGCTATATTCATCCCCGTGGCTGTCGTGGTGAGCAACAATAGTAAGAAATCGGGAGGAGGATCGTCTTCCTCTTCTTCATCGACGACAACCGGCGGCTCATCAGGCATCAGCAATGACTGCGACTCGAGCTCGATCCCCGAAAGCGCAAAGGGCACCTACACCGATATTTCCACCTGGATGGACACGACTGATTTCAATTGTACATACACTGCCGAGACGGTCGGTGGGTTGTCAGTCATGGGCCTCCATTCGAGCTGGGATGATTCCACCAAAGCCAACGACAACGTCCCTGCCCTCAACGAGAAGTGGGAGTATGGAAAGATGCCGATCCGAGGCGTTAACATAGGCGGCTGGCTCTCACTAGAACCCTTCATCACCCCTTCGATGTTCAACTATCCTGCCTCCGCCGCCGTGGTCGATGAATGGACTCTGTCACAGAAGCTTGGGCCGTCGTCAGCACAGCGCGTTATTGAGACACACTACGCAACCTTCATCACAAAACAAAGCTTCATTGATATCAAGAATGCAGGCTTGGACCACGTAAGGATACCTTTCCCTTATTGGGCGGTCACAACTTACGACGGCGATCCATATGTGCCAAAGGTTGCCTGGCGGTACCTCTTGCGAGCGATCGAGTATTGCCGAGAGAATGGCCTGAGAGTGAACCTCGACCTGCATTCCGTCCCGGGAAGTCAGAATGGATGGGCTCACAGTGGTCACCAGGGAGATATTGGTTGGATCCTGGGCCCTGATGGCGCCACCAATGCCCAGCGGTCACTGGATATCCACAACCAATTGTCCCGGTTTTTTGCCCAGGATCGGTACAAGAACGTGGTGACCATCTATGGTTTAGTCAACGAACCAAAGATGTTGGTAATTCCACCTCAGTCTGTGCTTGACTGGAACCAAAAGGCCATTGCAATCGTGCGAGGGAATGGCATCAAGCAGCGGATCGTCTTCGGTGACGGCTTCCTTAGCCTGGATACCTGGGACGACATGTTCCACGGCGTCGACGACAACCTTGTCATGGACACCCACCAATACCAAATCTTCAACACAGGACAACTGAAGTTGAAACACCAAGACAAGATCAACCTCGCATGTTCAGGTTGGACTGGGTTAATGGTTGCAGCCAACAACCCTCAAACCGGATGGGGTCCAACTCTGGACGGCGAATGGTCTCAAGCCGATACTGATTGTACACCAAATCTAAACAACGTAGGCGTGGGCTCCAGGTGGGCTGGTACGCTCGACACTGGCGACCCCGAAACATCAGTTCTCACACCCACCTGTGCCGAGCCGCCTTGTTCATGTGCACAAGCCAATGCTGACCCAAGCGAGTACAGCGCTGCTTACAAGCAGTTTCTGCAGATGTACGCCGAGGCCCAGATGCACAGCTTTGAACAGGCCTGGGGCTGGTTCTATTGGACCTGGAAAACCGAGAACGCTGTACAGTGGAGTTGGATGTTGGGCTTGCAGGCTGGTATATTGCCGGAAAAAGCGTACGCCCCATCTTTCAAATGTGATTCTGAAGTCCCTGATTTTAGCGACCTGCCTGAGAGTTATTGATACCATGTGATGCTGGGATGTGACAGACAGCATGGGAATGGAGTTCTGGGAAGATCGCTGATCCGCTGCGAGGTTGGCATAATGGCAGAAATGAGGATAGGAAAGGCGCTTCGACCACGAAGATGAAGCATGAATGAACATATTACCAAAGAATCTTACCTGTTCCGGAATCTCCATAATCACTTCGAGTCTTTGTCCACTTTTGAGGTGTGTTGCGAGTGTCTCTTTGTCATAAGGCTGGCACTTTCGTATATAAAAAAGCAAGGACCCTCAGGCGACATGGCATTCAACCACCACACATCCTCATTCCTATTTCCTTTCACTTGCCTTCAAACATGTCTCACTTCCACCTTGACTAGGATCATTCACTTGTGTTGCTATTGTGCTGAGCCTGTGAAAAGGAAGCCTGAAGCGTCAACTTCACTGCAACCCTGGTCGAAAGCACGTTTTGCTGCTGACTCTCACTCGTCTTCACGCACTGTCTTCACGTGCAGGTGATATTTCATTGTTGATTTTGAGTCGGTTGAAATGGCGTATATCGCAATACTACTACCACCTCCACGACGTCAGAGCATAACTAGGTCACCACGACGACGATACCGTCGTCGATAACAAGCAAACACCCCAACAGCAGCGTAACACCCACGAGCTTTTCATTGGCGAGGGACTCCGATGCAATGAGGGAGTATCATCGAAACCCCTTTGATCCTGGTATCCCACTGACATACCAGGGTCTCGATGATCGCGGTATCAATTCACCAGAGGGTCGCCTCGGTGAGATTGATCTCGGCCGTGCACAACTCCATATTGGCGGCAGTCGCTCCGGATGGGAAGAAGCCGTGTCATTTCCTTTTCCAGAACATCCGCGGTCACCAAGTCACCAAAGCATCAGATACACGCCACGACCAGAGTCGGTTGTCAATAGTCCTTTTCGCCCGCGTCTGAATTCTTTTACGCCACACGCTCAGTGGTCCCCCGGTATCGGTGCATCACCAGTTTCTGCGGCCTTTGTTGACCCCGAGGACAGTGATCGAGGGTCAGGAGTGGTGGAGAATTTCCAGCATGGTATTCCGTTTGAAGATGGTGATTCTCCAAGTGCCGTGCAGGATCATGGAGTTGCCGGACAAAGAGGACTCAAACTGCCGCCAATTCGCAGTGGCTCTGGCCATCAAGATACTCAACTTCCGGGTAAGTTGTTGGTCCACAGAGACTTTGATAAACCACAAGCTGATACGACAACAGGCATTCATCAAATTCTTGGTCTCCCCATGATCCACCCGAAAACTGCCTCAGCTCATTGTCGCAAACACCAAGAGGGCCCGTTGTTGAAAGCTGAGACATTGTTTGTGGATGGGCGTTCAAAGCGAACACACAAGCGCGGGAGAGGATCGTTTGAGGCACCGGATGCCCCATATAAAGCTGGCCTTGTATGCCGTTCAACACCAGCATTCCTCACCCAGATGTCTCCCACGCAAGACATGATGCAGTCCAATGATATGGAACCACCACCACCACCACCACCAAAGCGACCATATCGTTTGCCCCGCGGGATGTTCGGAATACCTTGTCGTCCCCCAGGAGTCCCTCCACCACCCAAGACCCCGATAGCAGAACCCCAAAGAGTCCCTTTGCCTCCCAAGACCCCGATAGCAGAATCCGCGCAAGACAACATCCAGCCGGCACAGAGCCCAAGAACACAGCCTCCTGAGAGCCCGAGAGATATCGGGGCGAATTCGCAAGCAAAGCTGAT